TTCCAAGAGCAGTAAAGGGCACTGCTGCTCAATTCACACACGGAGCAAAGATCCTCATGCAACTTTGGAATGTTTGAACTTCCAATGTGTCAGAAGTTAGATGAGGCAAACCTAAGGTTTTGTCTTTCCACATATGGATTTTGAAGATTTCTGTTCACACAGCTCACAGAAAGGGCAGGATGCACATTGTACAGATATGCACATCTGCCCCAATTTCCATAAGGTATCAGTGAGATGCCACACAGTGAGGACTCTTTGATGCCTGCAGTGTATTGGTTTTTCACTACTTGCTGGGAAAGTGAGTATGATTATACTGATCCTAAACTTCCCACTTATGCAAAGCTTACAGCTTGTTCACTGGGAAACATTCACTATTCACAAGGGAAGGACACTGGACCCTGGCAAGTTCAGGTCAGCATTTGAGTCCAGGTGTGGGTTCAAAGGCTGAGAAAGCTGAAAAGAAATGACCACAAAATTTCCTTGATAGTACTCCATCACAGGAAACTTCTGTGCTGCCAGGCTACAGTTATTCACAATTGAGAATCTAGTAAATTATTATTCTGAAACTAAATTGAAAGTTTCAGATGGGGGAATTCAAGGCCTTGCTCTCTGACCCTGTGAAACTGGAATTTGAGGTTCTGTTTCAGAGTAATTTTCAAACATGAAAAAGAGTCAGTGGACAAGTGAGTTAATTTACTTCTCTCTGTTCATGAGCTGTTTGGAGCTATCTTACCAAACCTTCACATGTACCTAATATTGAGTATCACCCACACATGTCCAGGAAGCTGTGAATACTAAACTGAAAACTTTCCTTGTTTGATTTGCCATATCAGATAAATGAAGGCTACTATTTCCTTGTTGAAAGAAATGCATAATTAATGCAGAGCAATGTGGAAATTATATGGTATAAATTTTAAAACTTTTGAAGACAATCATTTGAGAAATCAAGGCAAGCAAATTATATCCTTCACGTGTTCACAGCAGTAAAGAGGAATGCTTGATCATTTACTCATATAAACAGTGTGAAATCTTGCTTCCAGACATATTGCAAGCTTGGAGTGATGATGTCAAATGGGTATTACACAGCTAAATAATTCTATTTCTCCTCAGATACACAAAATACATTACTAGAAAGAAAAACTTTCAAATTCTTCTCCCTCCTCTAATAATGTTCTTGAACCACAGGGGTCCTAAGTAGGTCAGTAAACTGATCTGCTATCTACATTCTGGGGTGAAGAGAACAGATTTGTGAGAAAAGGTGGGGTCTGAAACCAGATTTAATACCATCTAATAAAACAAGCAGAGATGCCACACAAAAAAATGAAGAGAGGCAGGACATCTCCTAAATCTCCTGTTGCTTCTTCTGCACCTAACACTGAAATGGCCATTGGGATGCAAAGGAATTTGCTGACCCAGTATCACCAAAGGGAAAATTAGTAATGGGTCCTACAACAATTACACATGGATTTTATGAGTAAGAGTTTCTTTTCATTATTTTAAACATATTTTCGAGGTAAATGTAAATGTAAATTCCCTGAAATTCCCTTCCCTTGTTCATCCCCTGCCCACCCTGCCCTTTTACTTCCTACTCCCATTATTTCAAGTAGCATATTTTGAAACCAGCATACACAGAGCAGACATCACTGACAGCATGAGGAGGAAAAGCCTCACTGCAGTGTGCACAAGGCAGCACAAAACCAGAGCAGCTAAAACACAGTCCAAGCTCCACTAATAGGATCTGTGGGAGACCACCCTTTTTTAGCAATTAATGAAGAGAGGTCAGATTTTAATGCCTTAATCATCTCCAAGCATGAGGGTAGCAGCATGACAAATTAAACTTGATCTAAAAAATTGCATTTTTAATCCCTCTCCTGCTAGGCTGCACCACCTCAGGTGCTGAAGTAAAGGAAGAAAAACAAATTGTAAAGTTTTTCCCCTTAAGTGTTCTGCAGATTTTAATTCTTCACTTGCACATTGCCATCAACCTCTTCCTGCCCTGCATCAATTGATCTCCACCCAGCTTCACAGGGGTAGTGAGCAGTTGAGTAGTTCCCATATGATTACCCTCCTGGAAGAGATGGAATCAGACCAGGGATTCAGCTGATCCTGGGTATTTTCTGTTTCTGGAGGCAGATTTCCTTGTCTGTCCACTTCCTTTCCCTATACAATTCTCAGTGCAAAGCTAACATTATTGAATTCATACCCTTGTACTGTTACCTTGCTGTATTAAAGATGCCATCTCTGTTTCATGCCAGCCAACATGCACTTCCCTGCCCCAGGCTGTGGTATTTTATAGCTACAGCACACACCCTCTGCACAATGGCTCTGTGCCTTTGTGCCTCAGAGCTTGCTCTTTAGCTCAGGAGGGAGTCAGAATGGGCCAGATCCATCAGCGTTGTGCCCTGCACTCTTGGCAGTGAGGAGTCATTTTCAATAATTCAGAATTAATTATGATAAAAGGGTACCCACAATTGTATTTGGCACTTTCAATAAAACAATGCCAATATCTTTTTTTCTCCTAGTCTCTTAAATTTATTTTAAACACACCAAAGAATGAAACTTCCTTTAGCTATGGGGAAAAAAAATTAGTTTCAAAAAGTAGTTCTCAGTTCCACTAGGAGCTGATGAAAATAAAATCATTTACTTACTAGAGTTAACAAACATTTTATTTTAGTCATACAAAAAAATCTTATTTGAAAGTTTGTTTTTAAATTCAAAATCAAAATGACACCAGAAGTTTAAACATGAAATCTGTAATAGCTCCATTGTTATTTTTCTGCAGTAATTTTCTCAATGCTCCACCAAAAGTGGAAATTTGGAAGGTGATGTGAAATACTAGTGCAAGGAAAATGAACATGGTTCAATATAATGCTTTAAGACTCCACATTTATGGTCTAATTCCTCTTTAGTGGTGGTGGTAATAACAGGAAAGAAAGAGAAGCCTTTTGTTGCTCTCTTGCCATTGGTTTTTCAAGGGTTTGAAAACTGCTAGGAAAATAAGTGTCAGAAGACAAAGTTCTTGCAAATAGAGCTAGAACTGAAATCAAAGTGATGTGAAAGCATACATGCCAGCAGGGAGCAGCCTGCCAGAGCCCCTTAAACTTTCAAATTAAAATGAAACAATATACAAAGGCTCCCCCAAGGTTCTGCTCCAGTGTGTTCTTCATTTAGAGCTCTTGGTCGAGGAAGTTTTGCACAATTACAGTGTGAGACACTGATGTGTTGGTCAGGTTTTCATTTGAAGACTCAGGGATGTCTGGCAGTTTTTCCTGGGCCATGCCCTATGCTCATCCAGGGCACACACAACTCCTGGGAAGGGAGTCAGGATGTGTGTTGGGCTTCCTTGTTGGCCTCAGACACCACTATATCCCATTGCCCTGGGGATTGTTTGCTGGGGAGCAGTTTGATTGAAATACAATCTCTTTTTTATGCTTTTTATAGAAATAATGTATTTTTAATCAGCAAAACATTACCACAGCAATGAAAAAGTAGCTCAGATCACTGCCCCAGTCACCCTGGGACCTTGGTAGCACAGCTATGGGGACAAGAGCTGCTGGCAGCACCCATGTGGGTAAGGGAACTCAGCAGATCTCAGTCAGAAATTAAGATTGCTGGGAGTGAGTATTTGGCTGGGAAGCTGCTTAGAAGCACCTCAGTGGCCATCTGTTTTGGGAAGCACAGTGGGTGATTTGGCAGCTTGTTCAGCAGTGTCTGACCTGAATCCCTTCAGAACAAGAAACGGGACCTACTGCCTGGGATGCAGAGCTAAGGCCTGTGGGATCCTCATAAAGATCTTGAGCCAGCCTTAGGGACAAGAGCTTTTACTCCAGAGACTTCGTGTTCCTTTGTGTTTTGTAGCTCCCAAAACACTGGACAGCTTGATTTTGGATTTCAGTGGATGAATCCTTTATAGCCAACAGCCATGCTGGGTGAAGGCATGAAGTGCAGAACATGACTTCTGTATTGCTCTGTAAGTTTATAGCCAACAGCCATGCTGGGTGATGGCATGAAGTGCAGAACATGACTTCTGTATTGCTCTGTAAGTTCTCACAGGGGAAAGAGTCATTCCTGCTGCTCTACTGCAAAATTACTCCAGGAGAGAAACTTTACCTGGGATAAAGTCTCCCCCTCAGGATATCATCCCACAGTGCCTACTGTTCATGGGGCTGGTTCCAACCCTGCAGGGACCTTGTGAAGCAGCTCTTGCAATACAAACTGCAACCACCATCAATATGACTCAGTGCAGAATCTCTGCCTGTCACTTCGATTACCCGAGCACCAGTTTAAATTACAGTCTGTTTTGCTGGAGTCTTGTTCTTGGTTGTTTCCCAAACTGAGTATTCAAGAGGAAAGAGTGGAGTTGAGCGCTCAGTGTTGCAGCTTCAGTTCCCAATTATGCAGCAGCAAACTGCAGCACCAAAGTGGGAGCAAGGCTCTCCCGGCTGAAACAGGGAAGGGATGGATGGCTCAGTGGAACAGAGCCCAAGACCCAGCCCGGGCACACGATCTGGGTGCAGGACCGGGCCGGGGGGCTGCTGTGCGGTGCCAGCTGTGGCACGGGGGCATGTACGTGTAAATCCGTTCTATGCAGACCCTAACCCGGGGAGGAGAGAGCCGCCCCCGTGTCTGCCCCCGGCCGCGGGCACCGGAGGGGCTCGGCAGGGCAGGGCCGGCCCCCGGCGGAGGCAGCGCCAGCCCCGCTTCTGGGGAAATATCGGGGACAGCCGGGAGGCGGTGGGATGGGAGAGAAGCGGGAGGGGAGGGAAGAGGGTTGCGGGAGGAGAAGGGGAGGGGACAGCCAGGAGTCTGGGTGGGGTGCGGGGGGGACAGCGGAGATAAGAAAGCCGGGGAGAAGGGGTAGACGGAAGAGCGGAGCCAGGGAGAGCTGGACGAGCGGGGATGGGGCCGAGGGCGTGAGCGGGGCCGGCGGGGCGGCCGTGCCCGGCGGGGCGATGCTGCCCGGGCGGCCGCGGCGGCGGCGGCTCTGAGCGGGCGTCGCCATGGGCTGCGGGGGCAGCCGGGCCGACGCGATCGAGCCCCGCTACTACGAGAGCTGGACGCGGGAGACCGAGTCCACCTGGCTGACCAACACGGACTCCGAGAGCCCGCCGCAGGAGGGCGGCAGCGCCGAGAGCCCCGGCCGGGAGCAGGGCGGCCCGCTACCCGGTGAGTGCGGGAGAGGCGGGCGGGCACCGCGGGGAGGGGAGCGGCGGCGACACCCTGTGTGTGCACCTACACACCGTGTGTGTGTACCTATACACCGTGTGTGTGCACCTACACACCGTGTGTGTGCACCTATACACCGTGTGTGTGTACCTATACACCGTGTGTGTGCACCTACACACCCTGTGTGTGTACCTACACACCCTGTGTGTGCCTCTACACACCCTGTGTGTGTACCTATACACCGTGTGTGTGCACCTACACACCCTGTGTGTGTACCTATACACCGTGTGTGTGCACCTATACACCGTGTGTGTGCACCTATACACCGTGTATGTGCACCTACACACCGTGTGTGTGCACCTATACACCGTGTGTGTGCCCCTACACATCCTGTGTGTGCACCTACACACCCTGTGTGTGTACCTATACACCATGTGTGTGCACCTACACACCGTGTGTGTGCCTCTACACACCGTGTGTGTGCACCTATACACCGTGTGTGTGCACCTGCGTGTGCACCTACACATCCTGTGTGGGCACCTACACACCCTGCGTGTGCACCTACACATCCTGTGTGTGCACCTACACACCATGTGTGTGCATCTACTCATCCTGTGTGTGCACCTATACACCGTGTGTGTGCATCTACAGATCCTGTGTGTGCATCTACTCATCCTGTGTGTGCACCTATACACCGTGTGTGTGCATCTACTCATCCTGTGTGTGCACCTACACATCCTGCGTGTGCCCCTACACATCCTGTGTGTGCCCCTACACATCCTGTGTGTGTACCTATAACACCGTGTGTGTGCGCACCTACTCATCCTGTGTGTGCAGCTACACATCCTGTGCGCACCTACAGATCCTGTGTGTGCACCGACACCCGCTGGATATACCCGTACACACGCACGGTGTGTGCATGGAGCGGGGTGTACCCGCGTTCCTGCTGTGAGCAGAACGTACCCCGCTGCTCCAGCTCCCCCGGCGGGAAATGCAGGCGCCCGAGGCTGCTCGGAGCGCCCGGAGCCTCTGCCCTGCCCGGCCCGGCCCGGCCAGAGCGGCCCCGGGGCCGGGCAGAGTCGGGAGCGGCCCCGGGACCGGGCAGAGTCGGGAGCGGCCCCGGGGCCGGGCAGAGTCGGGAGCGGCCCCATGCGCTCCGGGCTCTGCGCTACCAGAGCCGGCTCGGCCTCTAGAGTCCCTCACGGCCTCTAGATGCTGGTCTACGAGCGACAGCGTACAGACGCCGTCAACTGTGGAGCAATGTTATCAGAGGGAAGAGAACTCGGTCCTTGAGGTTCTTGAGGTTCTACCCATACGTGGCTCTTTCTTTTACAAGACAAGTAACTTAGGAAATAAATTGAAATTGGGGAAGAGGCAGCTTTTTTCCACACTACCTCTGATGCCTTCTGATACACAGAAAGTTGACCAGAGGGTGGGTTGGATAGAAGCAGACCTGCAAGTTTGAATTTCCCAGTTCTTGTCAGTATGCTACATCCCCAGTTGTGCACCTGAGGTGTTACAGAAGCGACAGATATGAGAGAGGGATTGAGGAGCTCTGATCTGATGTGCAGTTTAAATTGATTTAAGAATTATTGTGTATTGCAGCAGTATCTAGAAATCTCAGCTTAAGTCCAGAAATTCATTGTGCTAGATACTGTACAAATGGTTGCTGCCCAGAATAACTACAATTTCCGTGTAAAGCAGTGAATGCCTATAGGCAGGTTCAGATGTAAATAAGTAGCTTTACAGACTTTTGTAGAAAGTAACAAAGCATGAGGAAGAAATTATGAAAGTGCAGGAGTGAAAATACACAAAGGTGGGCATCACAGGCCAGCTGGAATAGGGAGACCAAAACTCTCTGCTGACCAAAATAAGACAGGGAGGGAGAAGTCACAAAGGATCTATGTTGTACTCCTAAAGGCTAAAGAAAGACTCTGCAGTAGTCACATGGGAAACCATGAGAATTTGAAGGTGAATGGGTCTATGAAATACCATATTAAAGAAGATTAGATAAGAAATTTAAAGAAGCTCAAGATGATGCTGAGCAGTAAATTCAAATTATGGGTAACAGTGTTGTGTTCCAGCAGTGAAAGCTAAATAGAGTGTTAGCTTTTTACCCACACTTACCATTATCTTAGCCATGTTTACTTTGAGTTGTGCCTAATCATAAACAGAAGCTAGACAGTTCAAGATCTGACTCTGAACAGGAGGTAATCAAGAGGTAGATCAGTAAGTATTCTTCCTAGAAACATGGGGTTATTTACTTTGTGTTTGGAGATGAGAATACCAGAGATAAGGAGAAGAGAACAACACTTGAGACCAGCAGAGACTGATGAGGGCATGAAACGCTTTACAAGACAACCTTGCAGAAGAAATCAGAAGGAAAGTGATGAGGAAAGGACAGAGTAGAAGCAAAAACAATTCACTCTTCAACAGAGACTCACTCTTCAGCAGAGCTGTGGTGGCAGCAGTTTAAGGAGCCTGAGGAACACACACTGCTCCCAGTTAGTGCCTCAAAAGTCACAAAGTACTTCAGGGAGAGCTGTTGTAGGGTAAGGTTTGAGGTAGGGAAGGAAAAGTGATAAGGAGAGGTACTCCAGGGACAATAACAGTACTTAAAGTGAATTTACAGATGAAAGGGAGAGGAAGGAGCAATTGGAGGGGCAAATGAGGTCAAATATGGGTTTAAGATATGAAGAGGAATAGGTGACTTTATTGTGAGAACTGAAAACTACCTTAGAGTGAGAGACAAAAAGGGAGGGTAAGGGAGGGGACAAGAGCAGGATGGGAGAGATGGGGAAATGGGAGATGGCACTGGCACAAGGTAAGGTAGGAAGGAGCTGTAACTGGGACAGAAAGGGACAAGGCAGCCAGGCAAGGGGGCACCAGCCAAACGAGGCTGGGGAAAGAGGTTGAAGTTCTTCTCTGTCATTTTTCATTTGCAATAAACTGGTGAAATTCTGTGAAGAGAGAGACATAGAGATAGGATGAAAGAAATATTTGGGGAAAAAAAATTTGGGAAAAGACAAAAGCAGTAAGAGGTGGCTGTGATTTCCACCATGTTTCAGTTGTAGAAAAAACAGCAAAATTGGACATCAAAATGTAAAGAGGAGTAAATCACTCAGGGATGAAAGAATGTTGTGTATACAGAATCAGAGAGTGTATCAGTGAGGAAAGGGTTAGTAACTCCCATACATTAATCTTAGTAATTTCATACCATCACAAATTTCATCATATGCTTCTCTTTTTTTATCCAGTATATTCAGCTTTTTGTGCCTACTCTCATTGGAATTATGAGTATTTCTGTAGCCAAATGTTTGTGCTTTTACCAAAGCATTTTGAAAGCTTAAATATTATTAATAGGAAAGTATTGAGGTTTTTTAATTTTGTAATTTGCTTTTCTATTTTTCCAATTTCAATTGATCCCTTCTTAGACTATTCGTTAATTTCCCTACTTGATTTTTTACATCCATTTTTATAAAGTGTATTGTAATCTCCCTATTTTTTACAGGAAGACACAGAGACCAGTATTAGTTGCTATAACTTACCTAAAATAAGAGAGATGGTCTTAGGTTCATGAGAAGTGACTTAGGGGATGAGAAGTCACCAACAGACACAAATATAGGTGGTTGTAACCTATATAGCAATGTATATTATGTAACTTGATAGCGTTGCAGTACACTGCTGAGGCTTTGGCAATGAGGAACAGGGCAACCAGGTGTGGATGAGGAGGGATAGAAAAGTAATAACTCCATGAAGCACTGTAGGTGCTGGAATTGAAAGGCATTTTCTGGAAAATAAGTGTACGTACTGTTCATAGGATGAGTGGCTTCTGTGAGGGAGAAAAAAAGGAAAGAATCACAATGAGCCCTTACAATAAAGCCATTTCTTGGAAGAACATCCATTGCTATGTGAGCAAAGAACTTTTCACAGGACTGAGCTACTGCGTAGGCTATAGCTGGGGGAAATAATAGGCTGCATTTCTGCTTAGTAACCGTTCCTTGATCCTTGCAACTCTTTGCACAAATTGCTTTCTCTTTAGAGGGTCTGATTCAGCTGAGTGGAACTGTTAGCAAAGTAATGACTTTTGGAGGAAGTAATAATCTGTGGGTACAGATGAGTCCCCAGGGCAGCCACCAAGGGTTGCACGCAAACCACGGAGAAAAGGTTGAATTCACAAAAAGCACACAAAAACTCTCAAGTATTTTGGAACGTGCTTGCACAACCTGTTATGTTATATTGGGATAACTTGCTGAAATGTATATGTATATGTATATCCTAGAAATTTAAGATGTATAGTTTATTGCCAGAAACCAGAACTGTAAATGTACTCTATAAACACATTCAATATGAACAAAAAAAAAATTAATGTTGTTTGTTTTAAAGCAGGTTTAAAGCCATCTCTTATTTCTACTTCTTTCTATTTTCACTTACAAGGTTAGCTGCTGTATTCAATTATGTTTTCTTTATTATAGCTGAAAGCCCCTCAGAGTGGATATGGCTTGTTGTCTTGTGGTCAGAGAGACTTTACAATCCATTTACCCCACGGGCTGCAAGTGCCTTAAGACAGGATCTCTCCTTACTGTTTTCCCACAGCAACAACAAGCACAGTAAGACCCCAGTCTTTAATAGGGATTGTTATTGAAATGCAAATAAAAGTAATTAATTTTTAAATGATGTAGCACCCAAGCAAAAAATAATTCTCTTGTCTCAGAATGGAAAAGCTGAATACGGATTGCCTCAGGGCTGACTTGTTCCTCAGCTATTAAATTATTTGTTGATTTTTTATCATGATGTCACCCACAGTATCAGCTAAAAAAATGGCTTTTTATTCTTTGAACTTTACACTTTTTCCTTAGTGAAGTAGGTTATTTTTTTCCTGAAGCATATTAAAGAAAACAAACACAGACTCTCCTGATGTACTCAGGATGCCCATGGCATCAGCAAACAGAACTGCAGTAAGTGGTCTGCCAGGAATGAAACCTGCAATTTAGGATCAG